AAAACATTTCTATAAGCTTAATCTTTATCTTAAACAGCAAAATTGTCCTTGTCTTCGAAACTGAAACGCTAAATTGAACTGCAAATGAAGAATCTGAAGAATCATCGCGGAGAGTCGGTAGGTTTTTCATTCAGAGCCGCTTTGTGGTTTCGGCGGCTGGTGATTTTGTTTCCGCGAAGTTTTCTGAGATCAATATTATAATTCGACCTTCTTGCTATTTTTACCGTCAAGTGTGATGATTCTGTTAGCTTTTCTTTCTTGTCTCCTTGTTTTTTTTCTTCGTTAAGGACCAAATAGCTTCTTTTCAATTAAAGCAAAGCATTGTGTTTTTGAACTAAGTGTTCCGTGTGTGTGCTTATTTCATTGCGTGATTGCAACCGAGTTTGTTTTTCGAATTTAGTACAACCGGTTCAGAGTTGTACCGCATGCAGTTGATAGTTTGAACGTTAAACATGAATTACAGTCGAAAAAAAATAAAGCAGTTCTGTATCATGCAGACATTTCCAAACGATATTTCTCGGTTTGCCACTTGAAAATCGTGTTTTGCTTTTTGCATGAATTAAAGCAAAGGTCAAGGAGTAGTGACGTCACTGGACGGCATTAACGGCCGGTCGATTCAGACGTTACTGAGGGAGTAATAACGACTCGAAGTAATCGGATGAAATTCAGGCTATGTCAGCTTCAGCTGTCAAAGTAAACAACTTTCAAGATGCTGCATAAATTTTACGCATGAACTCACCTGTCAAATTTTAACTAATCAGAGGATAAAAATTGGACGTGGAGCGTGACCAACACGTGACCATGGTTAGAAAAGGTCGTACCCGCCTGTATTTTTAAAAAACTGGCTGAATTTTTGCGTCTGAGGTCAGTTTGAAACCAAGATCGTAATAGTGCGGGGCGATACTGACATAAACACAACATATTTGACATGAATTTAAAAAAATAAGTAAACGTGAGCCTGCGATTATTTGAAAGCGAGTAAATTGTCAGAGGATAACTTCAAAAAATACTCGACCTTGATGGGTCGACACCTGAGCCCGCGATACGGTCAGGTGATACTGGTCAGCGGGTGCCCTGTTTTGACAGCTGTCAATTGATGACAACATTGATGTGCAATCAGCTTTCTCCTGGGCTCCCAAAGTAGCTAGAAAGTGTAAGAGTAAACATTGGTATGCCTGTGGTTCGGACGGACAGGCAGCGGGCGGACGGACGGGCGGGCGGTGTACGGTCACGTGATTACCAAATTTTCTGGCATGGGTAGATTTACTTACCTATGGTGCTCCGCAGGCGCGCTTCGGGGGCCAGAGCTCCGCTGTTAGAAATGCTTACATATTGACAACCATACAAATATGAAGGGCACGAAAAGATTCGATCGATACGATCGACTCTGAGCGGCCTATAAACACTGCAACAAAGCATTCCACAAGGTATTTTCGGACTTGAGCAAGCCAGATTACACACATTTTTACCAAACCATGTGGAAGAGACCATGCATTTCAACTTTAAACTATCCCTTGTGCAAAAATTAAATTTGTAAAGCCAAGAGCAACTCAAAGTAAATCAATTGACCAGTTTACGGTTGTGCGCATTAGTATCCTAGCCTTTGAGTGAACGTGAGGCTGAGGTTGACCTTGTGTTGAAACAAACCTTTTCCCTTTTTTTCCTGAAATTATGCTTTAAAAATACGAGTTAGCATGAGAACGACATGATCTACGTAATCAAGCAGTCCTAGTGATAGAAATTCAAAGAGTGACAGCAAAGTGTTTTAGGGCGGCGCTGGAATTGCAGTTAAGGGGGAAGGCTGTGGCTTGTAGGGGAGGGCCAGCTAGAATTAATCATGTAGTGTAGTTTAATAAACCCTTTTTCTTAATTATTTAACTAGTTATTGCTAACACAAGCCAATGCAATCCTCAAAGCTGAGGTATAGGCATTTTTAAGAAAAAGATATTACAGTTTTGTGAACAGCAGTGATGTGCGTGTTTGTTTTAAAGTACATGAAAGTTATTTTTATGTTTAACCAATGAAATACCTTAGAGATATTACTATTGCATACTACTTTTCTCTTATTATTATCATTGTTTGTTGGGTTCACATTAGACCCCTAAGTCTGACTTAGTAATCTCTTAAGTCGACTTATTGAAAATGACAGGTGTGAACCGCTAAGTCACAGAAGCGTGATTTCTGTCTTAGTGACGGCAAACTCAAACGACCTAAGCAGTTCTTAAGTCTGTTTCAAACATGACTTAAGGCTGACTTAAGAAACCTGATAGCAAAAAAAAATTAAAAATCGTGGGTTTTATCAGATAGAGATTCCCGCGTTAGGCGCCAAAAGCAAAGAAATCACGACACAGACTCTTCTCACGAACAAAATTAACTGAAGATGCATCGCCGAAAGGACGAAACGTTAAAAGGCAATTACGCTACCGACTTTTCACCTTATGCGACGTAAGTTGCGTGGCTTGATCACTTTTTTGTTGGCCTACGTAAGTGTCATTTTCTT